TCTGTAGTCCCCTACACATTCTCTGTAGTCCCCTACACCATCTCTGTAGTCCCCTACACCATCTCTGAAGTCCCCTACACAGTCTCTGAAGTCCCTACACAGTCTCTGTAGTCCCTACATACATCTCTGTAGTCCCCTACACGTCTCTGTAGTCCCCTACACATCTCTGTAGTCCCCTTCACCTTCTCTGTAGTCCCCTACACCATCCTGTGGTCCTACACCTTCTGTAGTCCCTATACCATCTCTGTAGTCCCTACACCATCTTTACAGTCCCCTATACCATCTCTGTAGTCCCCTACACCATCTTTACAGTCCCCTATACCATCTCTGTAGTCCCTCACCATCTTTACAGTCCCCTATACCATCTCTGTAGTCCCTACACCATCTTTACAGTCCCCTATACCATCTCTGTAGTCCCCTACACCATCTCTGTAGTCCCCTACACCATCTTTACAGTCCCCTATACCATCTTTACAGTCCCCTATACCATCTCTGTAGTCCCCTACACCATCTTTACAGTCCCCTATACCATCTCTGTAGTCCCCTACACCATCTTTACAGTCCCCTACACCATCTTTACAGTCCCCTATACCATATCTGTAGTCCCCTACACCTTCTCTTCAGTGAATGAGTATTTTCTAAACTCATAAAAACCTTAAAAACATTGAACAAGATGAAATATAACGCATAACACAGCTGTGAAAAGATCAAAAAATGAGAAGGCCGGTCTTGTTTTTCACCCACCTCTCTCCAGGTCGCACTCAGGAGACGACGCTCCGCTGCACTCGCTGCGAGGCCCGAGCACCGGAGAGATGAGTCCGAAGTCAGACAGCGACACGGTGCTGGGGAGGTCAAGACTGCAGGGCCGGGAGGGGAGGGCGGGGGAGGAGGGAGTGGGTGAGGGAGAGGGGGAGGAGGATGTGCAGGAGGATGTGGACGAGCTAGCGAAGGGGCAGCTGGAGAGGAGCTCCTGAGGGCTGCTGGGAGACGACCCCACGCTGCAGGTGGAGCGAGTCTCCGAGTCCTCCTCAGACATGAAGCTGCTGCCGCCACACGCCTCGTCATCGAAACATACTGACGCCACTGCAGGACGTGGGAGGGGGATAAAGGAAGTAGTTGACATTAGGATCCAAACTGCATAAACACAGCTCATGTTAAAACCATCCTTCAACACTAAAGGAGGCGTTTCTACATTCACTGACATTTAGAGAACCAGCAGGGAGCAGCTGTTACTGACAGCAGAGCGGCGAGATGGGACGATGTAACGTTTACAATCTGACCTTTAATCTCATCAGAACAATCGTCTGAGTCATGCTCACGCATGCAGAGGCAGCAACATCGCAACGTTGGTGGAACAAACATCAATACAGCGTTAAAGGTTGAAGAGTTCCAGCAGCTCTCTGTCAGAAAGCAGCTGAACTGTTCACTGGATATCCCGTCTGACTCATCTTGAAGCTGGAGACGTGTCTCCTGAAACACTGTCGCCCTCTGACCCACGCCACGCCCCCGCGGGCCCATGGCGGAGCTTCTCCGTCGCTCGTGGATCTCATCGGAGATCATCTCCAGGTTCCTGAGCGCCGTCTTGTACTCGCCTTTGGCCTGAGACAGTTTGGCCTGCCGCTCGTCCACGTTCTTCTTCAGGTTCTGGGGAGACGATGAGTGAGAGGGGGGGTGATGACAGTTTATTAATAAATAAACTTTAAAGAAGAAATATTAAAATAAAAAAGTCACACACACACACACACACACACACACAGAGAGAGAAGAATCCAGAAATAAGAATCCCTTTATCAAGCTCCAGGTCGTCAACAACATTCCTTTCACCTTCAGGGGAAACCAGCGGGGTCAAGACAAAGATAAATGAGAGTTGAGCAGGCGTCACGTACCTCCAGCTGCAGATAGTACCTCGCCTTCATCTCAAAGTAGGGCCTGCAGAGGATGAGGGGGTGGGGGGGAGGAAGGGGGGTGGATGAGAGAGTGAGGGGAAAGATTAGATCAGAGGGGAAAATGCAAAGTAACCCAGAAAAAGAGCAGTACCCACTCTTCATCACCATGGAAACCTGGAGGAGGAGGGGGTGGGGTGAAGGGGTGCTGCTGATGTTGGATGAGTGAACGATGCAAAACGGATTAAAGCCCTCACACAGCGAAGCGGCAGCTGATCATTTAGAGACAGAAATAACTGCTGCGTAGTCGGAGACGATCTGTCTCCTTAAACCAGTTTTTATGCTAAAAAGAGGAAATACAATCGCCATGGTAACTTTTGGTACAGAAGAGACACAAATACCAGAGTCATCCCTCAACTATCTTATCTCATTTATATTCAAAGTTTGTCATTCTTATATATTACATATTTAAATATCAACTAAATGTGGTAGATGTTGATCAAATCGGATTAACACTTTATTGATACTCGGATCTGATCGTTGGTCGAGTGTATCGTCCGCTGTTTGACTTTTCTCCGTCTGTGATTTATTTCACTGGAGTTGTCTTACACTCACACAGCAGCAGCGTCGTCGGCTCGCTCTAGTTTCCAGCCTGGTTCTATATTTAGCCGCCATTGTGATGTTTTCTGGACCGGCGTGCGGTCACAGCGAGGCGTCGAGCAGACTGTCAGAGCGGCGTGAGCCAAGACCAGAAAGAAGTCAAGTCTCCCTCACTTACAGAGTCCAACATGGACCCTCGACTGGTCCCTGACCCTCCAGACCTAAACCTTCTCTCTAAAGAAGTGAGACCATGTTTGTGGGTTTTAACACGTGTTCAAACTGTTCCTTCTTCTTTAGCAGGCACCAGAGCCGTAATCTAAAAGTGTTCATGTTCCTCTTCTGAGTCCAGCTGAAAGTGAAACCTGCTCTCAGTCTGAACCACATGGTACCACTCTGAGGGTTTCAAACAGTCAGGTGTGTTAAAGAGGAAGTCGTTCCTTTCTGACAAATCACAAGATTACAGAAACCGCGACCTGAGTCAAACCTAAGGTCTGTGAAAAGAAATGTGTGTACAGGAACCGTCAGGAAATCCCCTCAAACAGAGACTGGGACTCTGACCTGGACTTGGACTTGTTGATGTATAACAGAGACTGGGACTACTTAGGTTATGACCTAAAAGTGAATATGTCTAAATGTCTGGCAATTATTCTGATGTTATGTCGTTGATGTTTTTCTGTTGAAAAAATCATTTAAAAAAAATTAGTGGCAAAAAAAAAAAAAAATAGAGACTGGGGCTCTGACCTGGACTTGGACTTGTTGATGTATAACAGAGACTGGGGCTCTGACTTAGACCTGGACCTGGACTTGTATAACAGAGACTGGGGCTCTGACTTAGACCTGGACCTGGACTTGTATAACAGAGACTGGGGCTCTGACTTAGACCTGGACCTGGACTTGTATAACAGAGACTGGGGCTCTGACTTAGACCTGGACCTGGACTTGTATAACAGAGACTGGGGCTCTGACTTGGACCTGGACCTGGACTTGTATAACAGAGACTGGGGCTCTGACTTGGACCTGGACCTGGACTTGTATAACAGAGACTGGGGATCTGACTTAGACCTGGACCTGGACTTGCATAACAGAGACTGGGGTGCTTACTTGGACCTGGACCTGGACTTGCATAACAGAGACTGGGGTGCTTACTTGGACCTGGACCTGGACTTGCATAACAGAGACTGGGGTGCTTACTTGGACTTGTTGATGGTGCGTTTGAGTTTCTTCTCCAGCTGCTTCATGCGACTGATCGCTGCCGTGTATTTGGCCGCCGTCTCTTTGTGCACCAGCTCGCTTCTCGTCTTGGTGTGCTCCGCCTCCATCACCTGCAACAGCCAATCAGAGCTCACCGTCAGCCACAAACTGAGGGAGATATCGCTCATGAGCTTAAAGAACCAGATACTGTCCAATGGAAGGCCAAACATTTGAAAGCTTCAGTGGTGAGTTTTGTCCAACAGCTCGTCTGAAGAAATAAAAACAGGAGGAGGTGATCAGAAAAGAAGAGGAGGGCGAGGAGACGAGAAAGGAGGCCAAAGACGAAGACTAGAAAGAGAGGAACATAAACTGAAATGAGGAGGAGAGGGGAAGAAACAGGAAAGAGAAGGAAAAGAAGAAGCAGAAATAATGTTCTCCTGTTTGTGGGATCAGCTCCCCCCTCTCCCCCTCCTCACCCGCTGGGTGGCGTGGTTCAGCATCTCCTGCCAGGCGGAGTCAAACTGCCGGTTGTCCTCCTCCAGGAGTCTCTGCTCGGCTAAGGAGATGGTCTCCTTGGCCGCCCGCAGGACCTCAGTGGCTCTCTGGAAGTCCTGCGTGGCCTTCTGGGCCTCCAGCTGAGCCTGACAGACAAACAGAGATGGATTTATTATTTATTCTAAAGAATGTTTTAGAAGTGTTTTATCTCAACGAGTCAGCTGTTTTAAAGAAACACACTCAGCTGTAAAGGAGTCTCCTCACAAAGAACTCATCTTCTCCATTTATTGACAATTTAAAAAGTTACAGGTGAAGGAGAGTTCACTCCACTGCTCCTGGGACTCCGCTCTGCTCACCTTCATATACACACTGAGTCTATTTATTCAACGGAGCCCGCTGCAAGTACACATCAAGGTGAACAGAATAGAACAACCTAGACAGGAAGTCAGACAAGGAAACGCACAGAGCCTCCACTCAATTTCAAAATAAAACACAACATACAGACTCCTGAACGTATTCTACATCACCTAATCAACATGACGTCAAAACAAAATGAACAACAACTCGTTCAAACAACAAACAAATTGTAGTTCTCTTGTGATCTTGTAGTTCTCCTGTGATCTTGTAGTTCTCCTGTGATCTTGTAGCTCTCCTGTGATCTTGTAGTTCTCTTGTGATCCTGTAGTTCTCCTGTAATCTTGTAGTTCTCTTGTGATCTTGTAGTTCTCTTGTGATCTTGTAGTTCTTTTGTGATCTTGTAGTTCTCCTGTGATCTTGTAGCTCTCCTGTGATCTTGTAGTTCTCTTGTGATCCTGTAGTTCTCCTGTGATCTTGTAGTTCTCTTGTGATCTTGTAGTTCTCCTGTGATCTTGTAGTTCTCTCTGATCTTGTAGTTCTCATTTGATGCTGTAGTTCTCTTGTGATCTTGTAGTTCTCTTGTGATCTTGTAGTTCTCTTGTGATCTTGTAGTTCTCTGTGATCTTGTAGTTCTCTTGTGATCTTGTAGTTCTCTTGTGATCTTGTAGTTCTCTGTGATCTTGTAGTTCTCTTGTGATCTTGTAGTTCTCTGATGTGATGTGTGTACAGCTGCTCATGGCTGTGCTCATGCTACAGAAAGGGAAGCTGACGGAACACAGCGCGCACGGACTATGTGGAAATTGTGGCTTGGTTTCCCCAGACAAAATTACTTTCAAACAGCACGACATACTCTAAGGAAACAGGAAGCGTTTTTTTAAACTCTATAATAAAACATTTTAGATTTTAGAGGAAGCGTATTAATGGAAAGAGGAACAGCTCCTATCAAACAACGCTCCACCGCACAGAGCACCACGACACACATCCTGATGGGTCGCACTATCTGACAGAACACCGGCAGAAAACACGTGTGTGCGTGTGCGTGTGCGTGTGCGTGTGCGTGTGTGTGTGTGTGTGTGTAAATGGTCAATGGACTTGAGCTTGTATATTTATTTTCTAGTCTTCTGACTACTCAAAGCTCTTTTACACTGCAGGTCACACCTACACATTCACACCCTGATGGTCGAGGCTGCTGTGTAAAGAGTCCATCAGAAGTAACTAATCCCACACAATTCAGGGTTAAATGCCTTGCTTAAGGACACACCGTTCATGTGGCTGCAGGAGCAGGGGATCGAACGACAACTCTACCAACTGAGCCACAGCCGCTCTATGTGCATGTGTGTCAATACGAATAGAAATAGAAGGTACAGCATGAATGACGCAGCTACTTTCATCTCGAGAAGCATTTCAAAGTTTTGCGGAGGTTTGGAAGCTCACAGCTGGACTCAAAGGGGAAATAAATAAAACTACACACACAGTCAAAACTGAGAGTGAGGATGTGAGACAGCATGCTGAATATTAAATCACAAGATGATGTCGCTGACCCACTTTGACTTACTGTACGCACTTTGTGTTGTTCTCTCCTCACTGAGGAGGAGGTAACACATCTTACCTCTGGAAACGGCCCCAAAAACAACTGATTCTAAAAAGGCAGATTTCCTGTCCCACTGAGATACTGCCGCTCATTTCCTGCAGAAAGGCGCCCGCATGCTCGGAATATTTGTAAAATTGTGCACGCTTTCAGCAATTTGCGTCCACACATGACTCTGGTCTCTCACTGTGGACCTCCAGTGTGCGGGCACTCTGACATCACCACATGCTCGCTGTAATGTCATTAGAGACGCTCATCATCATCATCATCATCATGCCAGCACAGCAAGAAGCAAACAACCTCTGCCTTGTTGTTGCTGTCATGTGTTTGGTTCTTCACAGACTGAAGCTCACGCTGAATGAGAGCGCCACAGAGTCCAGCGTTTACTTCTAACGTGACGCTTTGTGATAGATCAGTGTAAGGAGGTTTTGGAGGTTTTGGAGGTTTTGGAGGTTTTGGTGCTGCAGCAGGGTCAGGGGTTTCTTGCGAGTCCTGCACCACAATAATACCTCTCTCTCTCATTTCTCCAGTTTTTGATCTTACTTTCCATCTCTTCTTCTTCTCTTTGTCAATTCTGCTGCTCTTGTCAGACTGATATTTTCTCTTAAGAGCTGTAACTAAGCTCCGCCCTCTCGCCGTCCCACTCTGTGAAGTCACATTGAAGCACAGCTCAGCGGGAGCTCCACATACACACACACACACACATCAGCTGATCCCACCTCTCCTCTGTAACACCTCTAAAGACGGTAAAGAGGAGGGGGGGTCACTTCGTCCCCCCATTACTCCTCCACCACATGCAGACTGAAGGAGAAACGTCACAGGGGCGTAAATATCACGTCTTGAAATGGCGGTCTGAACTGGGCTCTAACTCTCCCTCTCCTCTCTCACTTATTGTCTTTGCCTCCTCCTCCATCTTTGTTTCAGCTTCTTGTACGCTCTCCTTTCTATCTTCGTGCATGTGTCTCCTTCTATCTGTCTCCTACCCTCTCTCTCTCTCTCTCCTCTGCTCTTATCCTCTCTCTCCTCTACATCCGTCTCCCTCCTTCCTTCCCCTCCTACCCATCTGTCACTTTCTATATCCACCTTAATCTTTCTGTTTGCTTCTGCATCTCTCTCTCTCTCTCTCTCTCTCTCAGCTGCTTCATGTTTTAATCACGCTGCACGCCGCCCGTTACATTTTCAGAGCCCCGATCCTCCAGAGGGGAGGCCGATGTGTGAGTAAGGCTGAAGTTCAGAAGCCGAGCTGTGATTGGCTCTCTGTCCCTGCGTCTGTTTGAGAGACGAGAGTTTAAATCATTCAACAGAACGTTAAAAGACTTAAAAACAGGTTTCATTAAGATGAGAATCTGTGATCTGTTAAGTTTGTCTGCGAGGCACTATGGTCAGCTGAGGATGTTTAAAACATCCATCCATTATCTAGACCGCTCTTCCTGTTCATGGTTGGGGGTGGGGGGGGGGGGCTGGAGCTGATCCCAGCTGTCACTGGTTGAGAGGCGGGGTTACACCCTGGACTGATCACCAGCCAATCACAGGGCTGACATATAGAGACCCGACAACCAGCCACACTCACATTCACACCTACGGACAATTTAGAGTCAGCAGTTAACCTAATGAGCATGTCTTTGGACTGTGGGAGGAAGACGGAGTACCCGGAAAGAACCCACACATGCACCGAGAGAACATGCAGACTCCTCACAGAGAGGCTCCTGTCAGACGGGGATTCAAACCAGGAACCTCCTCGCTGTGAGGGGACACAACGTGTTATATAAATAAACATGGCGTGATGGTGAGACGTCTCCTCATCAGTCAGAGTGCTCAGGACAGATCAGCTGAAATGGACCAATAGATCATCGACTCTCAAATCGTCCTCAAGACGAGAAAAACACGACACACTCCGGCTTTGAAACCTTTAGCTCCAGATGAACGCCACACGCTTCTCTTTTATTTATCCCGGGTTCCTGAAATTCAAGAAAACACGAGCGCTACGACGCACCAACACGGACTGATCTGTCCAGAAAGTGAACTCTGTGTCCACACATCCTGAATCTGTTTGTCTGAACACAAAGAGAGGAGACACTCTCTGTTTTCTAAGTGACCTGATTCGCCTGATTTTCCAGAACATGTGTTTTATTTTTATCTCCGTTTGTTCAGGTCTGAGGATTCATGTCCTCGAGTCCATCCAGGGAGAAGAGCGTCTCCTGCAGACGGCGTTCTGAGGCCGTGCAGTAAACATGTTGTTGAGCGTTCTGTAAACCCTCGTTTCAGGTCAGCGTTTGTTCCAGGAGAGAGGCGAGCACACTGCGACCGGCCTAGATATCCTGAGAGCTCTGGGGTTTAACAGCAGGGAGAAACCTCCACCTGTGATGTGGCCGTCACGCTCTTTAATAGGATAATTAACCCAGATATGAGACCAGTTATGTGTTTCAAACTCTGAACATTATAAAACATGAAGACTGACTTAGAATCCACCTCATGATTACAAATGTTTGTAGATCTTTAAACACAGAATTCTCTGAGAGAGAGGGAGAAAGAGAGAGAGAGAGAGAGGGCGAGAGAGAAGGAGAAAGAGAGAGGGAGCGAGAGGGCGAGAGAGAAGGAGAGAGAGAGGGAGAGAGAGAGAGAGTTAGAGAGAGATAGAGAGGGTGAGAGAGAGAGAGAGAGAGAGACAGAGAGAAAGAGAGAGAGAGATGGAGGGAGAGAGAGAGTTAGAGAGAAAGAGAGAGGGAGGGAGAGAGAGAGTTAGAGAGAGAGAGAGGTAGAGAGGGAGAGGGAGAGATGGAGATAAAGGGAGAGAGAGAGAGAGAAAGGGAGATAAAGAGAGAGAGAGAGAGGACAGGATGCAGGGAAAATTCTCTCATCCTGTCGCTCTCCTTCCTCTCCTCTTTCTCATCTTCCTCCCAAAGCTGCGTTCAAGTCTAATCGGGCGTATCAGCGTCCTAACCGCTGGGATTTGTTCAGAGCTTCACCCGTCTTTGCCATCTTTCCCTCACTAATCCCCCAACATCTGTTCCAACTCACGCCACCGTCCCGGTCACTGAAGACGTCCTGCTGAAGAATTCAGAACAAATCAAAGCTTCAAAACAAGATCAGGGTAAAGATCAAACTGGGATGTTGGACAAAATAAAAAGTAACGCCTCGAGGGGGCGCCGGTACCCTAGTGGTTAGAAAAATGAAATGAGGGGCGCGCTGGTGGCGCAATGGTTAGGGCGCGCGTCCCATGTGTTGAGACTCTCGTCTCGAGTGGTAGGCCCGGGTTCGCCTCCACCCGTGGCCCCTTTCCACATATCATTCCCCGCTCTCTCTCCCTGGTTTCCGACTCTGTCCACTGTCCTCTCTCTGAATTAAAGGCACAAAAAGCCCCAAATAAATCTTAAAAAAAAAAATAGTAGAGTAGAGTAGTTTGAAATTTGATCCAGGAGAGGGCGCTTTCAGCGGGACTTGACCATTGCATGACCTCTTGACCTCAGTACATGAAGACGGTAATGTTGTGGCAAAAGTAACAGATGGCGCTGTTCAGGCAATGCAGACTCGTCTCTCTACAGACAGCCGCTCACTGATTGGTGGAGAGACACAGGGTCACTACAAACCTGCAACTCTCCAATGTTTGTGTGTGAAGAACGTCTGCGCGCTCTGAACGGGTGTTCTTGTCTGCACTCGATCCTGGTCAAGTTGATAGACTTCTGTTTACGTATCTTTAAATGTTTTGTCAGAGTTTTATAATTCAGCCATCACATTGGCTGAATTTGAATGTGAGAGACAGATTCAAACACAGAAGGAAACCTGACTTCACCACCACATGTTGAGTCATCTTTCCAAGTTCAGAAGGAAACCTCCACCCAACCACAGAGCTGTGTGTCAGAGTGGCTCCGCCCACAAGCGACGTTATGCAACAACCACCAACAGTAGCATCACACACACACACACACACACACACACACACACACACACACACACACACACACACACACACACACACACACACACACACACACACACACACACACACACACACACACACACACACACACACACACACACACACACACACACACACACACACACACACACACACACACACACACACCTTGCAAAGCCAACCGGATGGCTTTGACCTTGCAGCAGCTTCCTCCGCCTCTCACAAATCCTTCATCTTTCACTCCATCCATCATCAATCGGCTACCGTGCTCCGCCTACCTAAAACACTTCCCTCCAGCAGAGTGACAGAGGTAGAGAGAGAGAGACCACAAACGTTCTCCATAAGAAGAACCTAAAGCTGCCGACTCACTTTTTAATGACTGTCTCATTTGGACTCTAAAAGAATGAAATGAATGAAAGAATGAGATCGAGGATACAAGCGTCTGAAATGAGTTTCCTCTGGAGGCCGTCTGGACTCAACCTGAGAGAGAGGGGGAGGAGCTTAGACATTCAGGGGGAGGAGCTCGGAGTAGAGCCTCTCGGAGTCAGGTGAGGAGGTTGAATATCTGATGTGGATCCTCCTGGACCCCTCCTCCTGGACCCCTCCCTGCACCAGTGTCTGATTTGCAGATTTATTCCAGTCTTCCTGAATCCGAATCATCTCCTAACTTCTCTCATCTTACGTCACCTTCCCTCAGACTCCGCTGACCCCTCCCTCTCAGGTCAGAAACGCCCACACAGAGGACTGAGCAGGCTGCTGGTCTTCATTAGTCCTGATGTCCCCACATGGCCATGAGGATCAGTCTGACACCTTTATCTGAATTTCAATCCAGTAAAGTTACCGCTGCCTTTTTGAATCTTCTGACCTTCATGAACAGAATCATTCCACCCTGAAAGACACCGCGACGTCTGAAGAATAATCTGGACTCCTTCATGAAGCTTCTAGAACATTCATCGTATAAAAACATGAAAACACCGGCAGACAGAGTTTCCTCACAATCAGAAAGTTCTGATCCTCGTCCTCCTGCAGCGTGGAGTCTCTCAGGAGGTGAAGCGGAATAAACGAGGAGCTCGCTGCATATTTCATATTCTCCTGCAGAAGAGTCAACTCCGGTTAACGGGGCCTCGCTCCGTCCCCCGGCGCACAGTCAGCGCTTTAAAACGTGCCACGCCGAAGCGATGTGCACTCAGGCGATCACGCCGCCAAAATAAACGTTTCTGCCCCGTCACCCTGACCCACTTCATCGACGAGCGCTCAGCGTCTCTAATACCTGACAAACACTGGACAGAGAATTCAAGAGAAACACTCCAGATGAGAGAGAGAGGGGGGGGGGGGCTACTGGACATTTAAGAGAAGTCTCTGTACCTAAGCAGGTACAAGCTCCGCCCCTCCTGCAGCCTCCTGAGAGCGTCAGATCACCTGACACTGTTTCTTCAATGTTCTCTCTCTGACCTGTTTGTTCTGGAGACTTTGAAGGACTCTGAAGGATCTCAGTGTGTGAACAGTCCGTCGTGGCGCTCTCTGTACCGCTCTCTGAACAGTGACGAGGCTGAAAGCTAACGTGGAAAGCGAGGGAGGGGGGGCTCTGTCTGAAGTCTTCCACATGATCCCTAATATCTTAGAAACAGAAGCAGAGGCCACAGAGAGATCGTTCAAACGGGTCGAGGTGTCACTTCACAGAAACTCTTTCATCATGGCCTGTGTTTCACGGTGATGGTTTCATCTGCTCCTTTAAAGCAGTCGAGCACAGATCGCTCTGATCCAATCGATTGATCAGGAGGAAAGGGGGGGGGGGGCTACTGCATAAAGAAACCTCTCTGTGTCGGTTGCTTCCTGGCGAGCTCTCACAGCTGTGAGGGTGAGCTGCAAGTGGCTGCTTCCCCTTTATACACACACACACACACACACACACACACACACACACACACACACACACACACACACACACACACACACACACACACACACACACACACACACACACACACACACACACACACACACACACACACACACACACACACACACACACACACACACACACACACACACACACACACACACACACACACACACACACACACACACACACACACACCCTAAAAAGGGAACTCAGATGAAGGTGTGATACGTGCACTTCTCTTTTAGAATGTTCCTGAATGTCTTCTTTCTCGTTGAGGCATTAAAGGTCGTCATGACACAGAAAGCCTGAAAACAGATTGAACATCATCCGTTTCTAGAGAAGTGTCCCTGAATTTAATTCTATTTACATTTTGTTTCCTGTCCTCTGAAAGCCTACGACTCGCTGGTTAAACAAATTCACTCAACGCTGCGGTGAACGCCCGGCAGACACTGACCCTGTCAGCATGGATTATGTCCTGTCCCTGCATCGCTGCAGGATCATCCACGTCTGCGTCGGGGTTATTTTCAATCTATGACCCGTGTGGACTGACCTGTCTGGCCAGCCTGCGAGCCTCCCAGTACGGCTTGGACTCGTCCACAGCTTTCCCGATCTTCTTCACCAGTTCGTCCAGTTTCACCGTGGCCTCGACCAGAACCGAGCGGAACTTCTGCCTCGCATCCTGAAAAAAAAAAAAAAGAAGAAAAAAGATCAGCTTCACAGAGGAGAGAGAGAGGGAGAGAGAGAGAGAGATAGAGAAAGAGAATGAACTCTTTTCTGTTTCTCAGGGCGTCGTAACCTTTGACCTCTATCTTAGCTGCTTGCAGACTATTTCAGGAAGTGAAAGTTTCTGTACTGCTGCACCGACACGTCTCTGAAGAATCTGAGAGGTCAGAGAGGAGAAGTGTTCATGAAGGACTCCGTGTAATCTGAGCGGTGAAATAAAATCGCTCTGTCCACAGCTGCCTGACAGAGAGGCAGCTGTTGACCTCGACTAAACGCTTTGTTCCATCTGAAGACTTTGTTTGTTTGTCGAGGCGAGGGGGATTTCTGTGACATAAACATTCAGCTCTGACACGCCAGCTCCGCCCCTTTTCTGGGAATCAAGAAGAAAAACAAGTCGGATCTTCACGGAGAAAGTCTCTGATCCAGTCGGCTCAGTGATGTAAGAAGGATGTTTTTCAACATCAGCTCCTCTTAACAAACAAACAAACACAGCACTGCTTCTCCGAGGCCGTCCTCCATATATGAATATGAGAATATGTGTCTTTCTATCAATGCTATGTGTAGTTGAACAGAATCTCATTGTGAACTAAAGAGTGGAGAAGAACATCCTGGAGAACAGGAAACATAATGCAGCAGGTTCATCAGAGCACGGAGATGGTAGAGGTGGCGTGCAGACAGTCTGTGGTCGTGCAGCGATCACAGGGAATAAAGGTCACCACCCCCCTCCCACTCGCTCCAGGTGAATTCTCCTGATTACATCCTGCTTCGTTCTCACATCAGCTCACTCCGACTTTCTGCAGAATAAATACGAGGAGGCTGGAGGAGAAACATTCAGCTGTTTGTGTTCACACATGACGCTCAGACTTAGATATCTGGACGCTTATCTGGAGTTTTCTGCAGGCTTGAAGAAGACTTGATGCTGCTTTCTTAGTGCACAAAACTCTCTGAACTACCTGATCCATTCATGGCGAGCTGCATGTGAACAATAACAGCACACCCCCCCTCCTCTCTCTCTCATTCAAACTCTATCCACTGTCCTCTCTTGGAGTTCAGACTCCATCACTTTAAGCCGTCTCTTTCTCTAAACGCTTCTTTAAGACCGTCTTCATGGAGGTAACGTGCTTAAGCTGTTAGTCGTCACTGACGTTTCTTTCAGCAGATAATTCTTCTTCTTAGAGATCCTTGAAGCTCAATGAGGACTTGTCTGTCAAACTCCAGGAAACTGAAAGAGGGGAGGGGCGTCTTTGGACACGCTGGTTTGAGACAACACGCTCTCGTCTCGCCGTGAACAGAAAGCGTCTTTGTCCCACATGAAAACAACTTGATGTTGTTTGGAGCCACAAAGATATAAAACATCAAAGCTTTTAGAACCGCTCTTACGTGTTGACTAAAGAGACACATGGCCTGAAGAGAGAGAGTCCAAACGACCCTGATGACCCCCAAAATGTCTCCAGAGGAAACTATGCTTTCAAAATAAAACAAGCGCTGCTTCAGATCAGCTCCAGACGTGGCGTGCTGTCGGGCTCTGGTGCAGATCTTTTATTTTAAGAAAACTGAAAAACTCTCACGGTCGATTTCCATAAAGTTTGTGTGCGCTGCGACCCGTCAGAGCCTCACTCGGCACCGTTCACTGCCACTCTATGATTGTGTTTCCACAGCGAGCGTGGCGGTCTGCCTCCAGAGCGTGCCAGCAGCGCCGCTCCACTCTGTGCTTTTAATGAAGTACACTGGACAGAACGACTCAGACAGGAAGTCAGACAAGGAAACACACAGAGTCCGGTCAGTTTCAAAATAAAACACAAGGACACAAAACAAGACAGAGGACGTGCGCATGTCCTGTTTTTCTTTGACACGCTGTCAACATGGCGGGACACCATTAGAACCAGAGGACTGGTTTCATCACTGCAGGACTCCTCGCTCTAAATCACTCCTGTTAAAACACTGTGACGACTCTGTGGACTTTGTCCTCTGTAAACTTTCACATCTTACTGCTGACCTGCAGAAATAAAAGACGCCACTCTGCCCGGGTTTTACAGGATTCAAAGATCAGTTCAGACACTCCGATGGACGGTCATCAAAACGGTCTCCTCTCTGCAGAGGAACACGTCCGCTCCCCTCACAGCCTCCATGTTTTTATGTAACATGAACTTTGTCTGCTTCTTCTCCTCAGAGTGTTCTGACTACAGCTGATTTAAACCACTTTATGACACTTCATCAGTAAGTGTCCCTCACTAAACACAGACTGATTCTTATTCTAACAGAGTGAACTGTTTGTCCTGCAGACGGAGCAAAGGTCCGCTTAGAACTCAATCTGCTGCCTCTGCACACGCCGATACCTTCATAAGACAGACGCCTAGTCCACACCTAGGCGGCCATTTCTTATAATCATAAAGAATAATTCCATCCACATGCTCAGTTCTCAAAAACATCTTTGTCCACATGAAAATGCAAAAAAAAACACACATTGTAACGACTGTCATGAGTCAACACTTCCAGACGATCTCCTCTCAATCCGTCCTTCAACGCGCAGGCGGAGCAGCTCACTCAGAGACAACCAAGTTCTCCCCATTTCTCTACGATGACCAATCAGGCGTCTCTGCTCGTCAACATAGTGGGAGAGTAACTGTGTATGTATGTGTGAGCGTGTAAAAAGTCCAGTTAGCAACGTTAGCACCAGCACACAGGTAACCTAGGTATCCTGCAGACTGCACACAGGTAACCTAGGTAACCTGCAGACTGCACACAGGTAACCTGCAGACAACACACAGGTAACCTAGGTAACCTGCAGACTGCACACAGGTAACCTGCAGACAACACACAGGTAACCTAGGTAACCTGCAGACTGCACACAGGTAACCTGCAGACAACACACAGGTAACCTAGGTAACTTGCAGACTGCACACACTTATCCTGCAGACTGCACACAGGTAACCTAGGTAACTTGCAGACTGCACACACTTATCCTGCAGACTGCACACAGGTAACCTAGGTAACTTGCAGACCGCACACAGGTAACCTAGGTAACCTGCAGACTGCACACAGGTAACCTGCAGACTGCACACAGGTAACCTAGGTAACCTGCAGACTGCACACAGGTAACCTAGGTAACCTGCAGACTGCACACAGGTAACCTAGGTAACCTGCAGACTGCACACAGGTAACCTAGGTAACCTGCAGACTGCACACGGTTCTGTGTGTGAGACACTGACCTCCAGCTCCGTCTCACATCTGTTGATGTCGTCAGTGGACTCGTTGAGTTTCTCCAGCTCCCCCTGGAAGAGAGAAAAGGAGGAGAAAGAATGTCACATCGTATCTGACATGGTTATCATCACCGTGGAAACACCAGATGTAACATCAAAGACCGCTGCATCATGAAGCGTGAGCTGCTACTGAAAGCTGCCGTACTGTTGCTGTATGTTCTGCTGTGATAAAAAACCGGTTCAAGTCCCAAAGTGTGAAAGATAGTCTTGTGGTTGGTCCCAGGTCACTTCCTGCATACTGCAGATGCGTCCTTGAGCAAGGCACTGGATCCCTATCATCTCCGGCCTACTCCCTGTGTAGCCCCCCCCCCCCAGTCTGACATCTCTCCATCAGTGCATGTCCACAGGTCCTGTTTGTGCATGTACGTCCAGACTCTGTGTGTGTGTGTGTGTGTGTGTGTGTGTGTGTGTGTGTGTGTGTGTGTGTGTGTGTGTGTGGCATGTAACAGTAACAGAGTGTTAACCAGAATTTCCCCTCAAGGACAAATAAAGTATGTTTAAAAAAAAAAGTCTCTTTAATTATTTCCTGTTGGTTTGCGTCATTTCTCAAAGCCTAACTTTATTGATCAGCTCTGCACTGACAGTGACTTGGTTTTTCTTAATGCTCGTTTATTTGATGGAGCTCTCACCTCTTCTGTCTGCTGTAATGAACCTGGATCAGTTTATTTTTATACACATTACCACATCTCTCTTCATATCAGGTATAAAAACATCAAACTGAACACACGTCGGATTAATGTAGCTCGTTTAATGCGCGGCTAGAAGGCGGAGTTTATTATAATTAGAATAAATATCATAATTAAGACGTGCAGAGGCAGCGTCGCAGCAGGACGACAGAGAGGCGTGTGTCGTGGACCCAAATAAACCCGGATCAATGAGAACCAATAATCAGTACTGTAGCTGTAAAGGTGACTCACCTGGATTCTGGGGTCCACCTCCTCGTCCTCATACTCGGTGTCGTCGTCGGACCTGCTCTCCCTCTCTGAACGGTCCATGCTGCAGGTGTGAAGGACAGATGTCACCGCAGCCGAACAAAGACTCACGTTAACGCCGTTTTAATAACGTAAACACCACCCAACTCTGAGGGACCCAACGCTCATCTGGATCCACGAGCCTTGTGAACGTCCCCAGCTCGGATTTAATGGGATTAAACGGAGCGTTTACCGGAGGAGAAGAAGAACATCCTGGTTTGAACCCACCGGGAGCCGATCAGCAGCGTCGGCAGCGTGTGTCTCCTCTCAGCTCTCTCTCCTCACTGAGCCCGATGCTCAGATGACCGGAGCCCTGCCTCGGTCCGGGAACGCCTCCTCCTGCTCGGGTATGAGGGGTGAATAGTGCCTCTTAGCGGTGACGCTGCTTAGTGACATTTATTAAAGGGGCCCTTCATAAACGTTATAAAATACAGAGAAGAAAATAATCTGATTTTCGGGTGTTGTGTAAAAAATAGTTCACATTTCTGTCACATTCTGTATGAAAATTTGTATGTAGGCATATTGTATGAATTATTCTGAAAATAAGAAAATATTGGTGTTTGTGGTTTTCCTCTTTAGTTAGCTCGTAGCTTCACATTGCATGTAAACTGTCACAGAATAAGCGTGATGTAATAACTCTTACTAACATCCAAATAATCAGTGAGTATGTTCTTCTTCTCTCTAGTTCTTGACTAAAACAGCTTTTAAACACAAGGGGAGGAGCTGGCCGTCGTAGCAGGGCTACGTAAAAACTTTGCACTCAATTTTTCACTGCTAGAAAAGCATGATAAATGTAAACAGAGGCAATGCAAACTTGAGGCTGATAAACGGTGAGTAATGAAGAGAGACACACTCCTTCATTCTGACACGTTCTACCTGTGTGTAGTCATCTTAATCAAAACAAAATGACCATCTTCTCTGGTCTAAACAAATCCAGAGCATTCAGGACCAGATTCTAAAGTTAGAAGGAGGACATACTGGCTGCTGCATTGTTGTCAGAGAAGCCAGCACTTCAACATAGCATGTTTCCTTAATGTCTGAGCATACAGTAAGGTCACTTAATCATTTCACTCACTACACATCTCACTGATTGATCCTTTAAATCTGTCCCACAATGAAAGGAGACATCACCCTCTCCGTGATGAATAGGTCATGTGGTCCTCCAAGAAAGATAAACCCCTCCAGAGTTTCTCTTCCTGGAAACTATCCTCACTTTGTCGGCCTCAGATGGAGAAACGGCTCCGAGTGACGCAGGAAATGCTTCTGTTAGAGTTCCTCGAAGCAGCGCACCATAAAGCTGCCATAAAGATAATTAAATTAGGTGAGAAACAACATGTGATATAATTAGGTAATTTGATTAAAGGTTATTTATAAGGGGTCAGCAGACAGCTCTGCACTTTAGATACCAACCCGTTTTATTTAAAGCCAGATGGATAGATGGATAATGTGGGTCATTTTGGATTTTAGTGTTTTATTTATCAACGCTGATTCTGATTCCCCTCCTCTCTAGAGTCCATGCTCACGCAGGTTGCCATGTGGTGGACACTGAAGCTTCAGTGTTTAGCCAGCTCTGCACCTTATTCAGGGCTCTGCAGGTTTGCATCCCGGTGTCCTTGTTGAGAAGGAGCGCTGACAGCCTGCAGAGCATGAAGAGTCCCGTCAGCATGTTGTGTGTCTCTGCAGGCTGCAGCCGTTTATCTGAATAACAGGAAATGTCAAATCATTTACAAAGAGGAAGGAACAGACTGCAGTGTCCTTTAAATGTTCCCAAACCTCCACCCTGCACCCTGACCACTGCCTGTGTGTGTGTGTGCATGTGTGTGTGTGTGCATTATTGGCACCATGATAAATTGCTTCTCACAAACCGGGGGGGGGGGTCCTGAGGCTAAAAGAACAACTCTAAAATGGTCGACAAAGCAACATAGTGCGACACCATGATGAAAATTTTTGGCCTTTATCTTAATGCAACATGTAGTTCAATGTTCACAACACCAAAAAAAGAGTTGAGAAGAAGAGACGTGTTCAGGGAGACTGCAGTAGGTCTCTGCTCTGAATATCACTCTGTCTGCCACACACACACTACTCTGAAAAGATCGTGTACTGGTTGCCTTTTAGCCTTTTTTCCCTTTTAGCTTTTTAATAATCTCATTGGAGAGTGTCTGAAAGAGGTAATTAGAGAGAGAGACATGCAGGAAAGGAGCCACAGGTCATATTTGAACCTTACTGCTTGCTTGGAGTAGTATAGTCTCTGTACATGGGACATGACCTAACCACTAGGCCATCTGCACCCCGCACTTATAGCTTTCAGTGTTTTCATTCATCATGAACAGATCTGTTGAGTGTTTTTACATTAAAGTTACGGCGTGATGAAAGTGTTGAAATTATATAACAACGAGAATATTTAAAGAGGGATAATCAGTGATGGCGTTTATCTCACAGAACGAGATGCACGGATGCTATTTTACAAACATGTGAAATATTCCAGCCTTCGAGTGGGCATGTCAGGACAGGACGGACTGTCAGCAGATTCCTGATTCCCTCTGAAAACATGGCGATGGAGTCCTGATAAAGACTCGTGTTACAGATCTCTGAAAACGATGTTTCCTCTGAAAGTGGCGTCCGTACCCGACACTCACTCCACCGTCTCCTCACTCTGATGTGCACTTTGTGATGTTCATGATCTGAGGATGAAAACTCTTTTTCTCAATGTGAGTAACTCTGGATGAGAGCGTCAGCTAAACGGCTAACGTGCTAATGTAACTGCGAGCAGCAGGCTGACAGTGAGCTGCGTTGTGTGGTGTCGTACGCAGCAGACAGACGGACAGAGGTCGTATTGACGGCAGAAGAAGAGCCGATTGTATCGACTTTAATTCAGTTACTCTCCAGAGACTCTCGTAGTAAGAAGCCGTGTTTCAGAGTGTCAGCTAAAAACCTGAAGGTGGAGAGGGAGGGGAGTCAGGTATGATAGTAGAGGAAGAAGGTTCATATCGAGAATTTCAGAAAGATGTTTAAACTGTTTAAACCGGTCTGAATGCGAGTGAATGTGTATGAATGGATGAGTTAATACTGATGGACTCTTTACACAGCAGCCTCTACCATCAGCGTGTGAATGTGTATGAATGGATGAGTTAATACTGATGGACTCTTTACACAGCAGCCTCTACCATCAGCGTGTGAACGTGTGTGAATGGATGAGTTAATACTGATGGACTCTTTACACAGCAGCCTCTACCATCAGCGTGTGAACGTGTGTGAATGGACGAGTTAATACTGACAGACTTTTTACTCAGCAGCCTCTACCATCAGTTCTCTCCATCATTTAAAACTTCCAACACGAGAGGTTTCTGTGGCGCTGAAGATGCAACCGTCACGTTTCAGATCGACACATGTGGATTCATCTGCTGCTAAAATGAATCCAAAACAAACACACGACATCCTTCAGTGACCTGTGATTAGAAACACAGAGTGAGATTTAAATGAAATGACACTTCAGAAAACTTAAGTCTTCTGCAGGAACAAAACTGTTTGGGACTGAAGGCCACCCATACGTTAAGAAAACAAAGAGAGTGCAGAGACTTGGTTTGGTCTTTTTTAAATAAATGTGTCATGAAAACATGAAGAACACAAACCTCGTCATTGATTTTAAGGGAATCATTACAGTCCCGACTAATAGAGATGCTGTGTTCTGTAGATTGTAGATTTTGAGGGTGTGTCATGTTCAGGATGTTACACAACATCACACAGGCGGAGGTAGACTGAGAGAGCCTTGATTCACTGACCTTTACGTCCCCGTCTCTTTGATTTCCTCTCTGCGACCTGACAGCAGGATGCAGAACCAGGACGTGAACCAGGACATGAAGCAGGGACGTGTTGATCTATCCAGAGCACCTTTAGATCACGATGAGTTTACGAATTCAGTGGCAACTTCCTGAACACCCAACAATGATAAATTATTGTTTTTTTTTTATGTTTCTTAACTTCTTATTTATGTTTTCAAATAGTGTCCAAGATTTTGCTCATTGTGTGTTTAAAATGATGGGACTCAGGAAGTACTGACAGCATGATGAGACCCACGGCAGGTTCAGGGATTCAAACCTTTAATTATATAGCACGTTTCTTTACAAGGTTACAAAGTGCTTCAGAGAAAATACAGAAAGATAAAAACACTGAATACACATCTATAAGACAGAAAAATAGAAATGAATTGACGTTTTAGAAGAGGATTTTAAAAAAGTTCTACATGCAGAGAAACATGCTCTCTTTAGATGTACAGCACCCTCTAGTGGCGGTACGTCGTGTTACACTCATAGATCTCTTATGTTTCATTTAACCTCAACTCTCAAACCTTTTAGGTTTAATAACTTCCATCAACGGAAACAAATAAACCAGGAAGGAAGAAAGAGACGAGGAATTCAGAAAAACAGGCAAATTATTGATTCACAAATTAACTGAAAACAAACTTCAACTCAAAGAGAAGAGTGTGTGTGTGCGTGTGTGTGTGCGTGTGTGTGTGTGTGTGTGTGTGTGTGTGTGTGTGTGTGTGTCACATAAGTCAGGTATGATGAAACACTCAGTTTTGACGGTTCAGAAATGAGCGTATGTGTGTTTGTTTATGTGTTTAAAATGGTTTTAAACCACAAACATTGTATATTCTCACGCTGTCCAAGTCAATCTGTAAAATGGGAATTCTTTGTCTCAGCACTCCAGCTGTCCGACTGTGTTTTATGTTTCTGGATAAATAGTTGTTTGTCTCATGTTAAACATATTTAACTTAATGTAAAGCTTATTAGATCTTATCGTATTCCAGTGTATCTCCCTGACTGAGTTCCTGGTTATCCTGAATGTTAAAAGATGAACATTTACAAAGATGAAACTCGCTCACCGATTAGTTTTATCTGAAGATTCTGTATCTGAATGTGGAGTTGAGCAAGCTTCTCATTTAACATCTTCCTCTCGTTGATCAGGTCGATGT